AAGAGGCACTCTCAAAACAATATACCAAACCATTACAAATATAATAACAGAGCAACTAACTATACCTAAAACGGTTTAGAAATCTATATAGTTTCCAAAGGCATTTCAAAATTTGTCAACCAAAAATCATAATACCACATTGTCAGATGAAACATTTTACCATTACATTAATTACTAATCAACCTTAATCGGAAAAAAAACATGTTACCATGTCCTTTAACTCCCATATTCTTTAGGCCACAAAAGTTTATACGATAAATGTTGGAATATAAATTGATTTTGTGTTTTAGGTCTAAGAGATAAAAGCCCAAGATTAGAAAAGGCCCAAATAGAATTCTATAAAATCCTATTTGAAAGGATTCTAGAATGATCTACAAAAAATTCTAGGGATGCTTATCCATAAGATGTTTCTAGACAAGTTTAAAATTATATGAATGTTTTAAAAACCCTTAGATGAATGTGGTGTGACAAGATCCTAACCATTGGTTAAGTAAGTGCCACTAGTATAAATAGAAGATGGTTGTAACTTGTATTATTTGTAATTAAGTCAAAAAAAAATTTAAAGGCATTCAATACAACAAATCTTTCCTTCTCTCAAAATCTTCCAAACTTTCCCAATTTTTAAACCCTTCCTTCAAGTCTTTAAAATTTTCTCCCAAAAATAACTACAACGAACCATTTTAAACTCAACAAATTACAAAACATGCAAACTATGAAAACCATAAACTTAGTGTTTGGAGCACATAAAAAGGAACATATAATAAAATAATTTATAAAAGGAAATATGTAAATCATGAAAACCTTAAAGATAGTTTTCGAAGCACACAGAAAGGATACTCTAAACAATAGAACTTCAAAATTCTAGACTTCGTAACATTACAACTTACAAAAATTCATAGAACAATTGAACCGCAGAAGACCTTCAAGCAACATTTATTAAGCACTTCAAGCACAATGGATAAACAAAAACCAGTTACCCCAATGAAAGAGACAAAATAGGAAAATAAAAGCCTATTTATTCAACACTTGAACATAAACACAATATTGGCACCGATAACAACACAAACGCCATAAATAATCGAAAAACCATAATAAAAAAATAAATAATCGAAAAACCATTGTAGAGCTTTGTAGAAATGGTGTTAAGGAACATCTAACCTTATGAACTTTAATGGAAACCTCATAAATTTTAGGAAGAAAACAACCTAAACCCCAATATACATTTATCATTGATGTGCGGAGATTTCGAATCAGATTTTTTCATCACATATTTCGTCCAGTCAGAGTTGGGAGAAGAAAACACCGAGCAGGAAAGGTAAAAATACAAAAGAACCAAAAAAGACCCCGGAATGTGAAGGCCAATCTGGTCACTTCCAATTTTCGGAAAAACAAAAAGACAATATAAACCAATATAAAACAAAAGTTCCAAAACAATAAAGAAGGACAAATTTGCCATTTTACACTGGTTAGTTTAAAAAAAAGCAGAATAAAAGCTTCCATAAATGACTAAAAACCCATTCCAACGAATACACGACGTTTTACGTGAATGGGTATTTTGGAAAGCAAAAATGTTAAATGACAAAATAAATGATCCAGAGAGACAGATGTCCCCTTACATTCTCGGGATGGAAAAATGTGGAATGACAAAAAAACAATAAAAGAAAGAATAAGTGTCAAAAGATGAATAGTGAGTATTTCTGGACTTTTCACATTACTTCTTTGTGATTTATATATGTATCAAACTTCCATAGCTTCATTTTTCTGCTTCTTGATCGGACTAGCTACTACTTTGAACTTCATGATTTCCATAAAGAAATTAGTCAAAAATAAAATATACACTGTATGATTTAGAATTTATTTTTAGATTCAAAAGTTATAGATTATAGGATCTAAAATATATAAATTTTATATTTAAAACACTTAAAATGAATTGCAAAAAATTTGTAATAACCTTCTAAATTGAGAAAGAGGCAAATGCAAATGAAAACAAGGAGTCAAAACAAGAGCCTAAGGATATATAAATTTAAAAGTTGTAAAATCGTTCCTCCAGTGGTTGGATAGATTTAAACTGAGATCAATAAGTTTAATAATTTTTGTCTGAATTATCAAATTTGTAGAATCGGTGAAATTTAACGAACACTCCTAATTTTTAATATTAAAATTATCTACTTTCATGTAAATTATTTTTATAATGAGAAGCATGTCCTACCTTCCAAATTTTGACCTGTCCTTTGCTTGTAACTTCATCTTTCACTTCATTTACTTTTAGAATCATTCATTGCTCTCGTCTCTCCAGATTTCAGTGCTTCACCTAAAATATTTGTGGTCAATCTCAGAAAAAAGAAAGAAAATCTATTGTTTCTTGATTTATAAATACAGCACAAGAAAACAAAAATAGTTCTCGTAGTTGCCAACATGGCTTTTTCTTCAACTTATACTTTTAAATGATCAATGTCTTAATATGTGGACAAAACTATATTTATAATGAATTTTTACTTATTACTTGTGAAAAGTATGAAACCCACATCATGGTAATAACAGAATCTGTGTTAATGATATCGTGTCAAGGTTCTTGTCTGCAGACAAATGGTTGCACGTGAAGTTTTTGAATTCATATATTCCATTCAGAAACCTCTGTGTTTTGTTGTTACTTTTACATCAATCTGTTGTTGAAGCACCAAACATCTCCATTAGTGTCATTATTACTTAAAATGAAAATGTATTTATCATACAAATGAATCCAAGAAGGTGAAAACTAGAAGAAACTCCAAAGAGCAGACAACAGTACTTGTTTCAGATTCAGACCACATCACATTCTGCCAACCTAAAACGAACTGACACTGCCAAATGGGCCTCTTGACTGAACCACTCTTCACAGATTCCCTCAATTAATGCATTAAACAATTCATAAAAGAAAAGAAAATCTATAGAGCTAAATGTAACATCATTATTGTTAATAACATTAATCAGTGTGAAGATATTATATATTTCACATCAAATCAAGTTCTGTACTCTGTTTCCATATCCAATATCCACCACAAGCTAAAGCTAACGTAACTCATCAAACTAAGAACTGCGAGTCTTTTATAGTCAATAAAATCAACTATGTATTAGACCCAACCAAAATACACCATACTCAGAAAATATGTTATATTATATTTTATTCATGGCATGTACAACTTGTTCCCACACTTGCATCTCCATGCCTCCGGGTAGTACTCGGCGGTCACCGGCGTACCCGGCGGCACCGGCACGTGAACCGGTTTGCATGGTGTACATTTGCCACACTTCGAGGTGCAACGCGGCGGCGATGAACCAGGCCCACCCAGAAGCCTTCTTCTGGGCCAGCTCATTGATAAGACATCTTTTTTACCTCCAGACACCCAGCTTTCTCCAATCTTCCCATTATTTTCCTGCCCAACATGCACAATTAAGTAATTAATCAATACTATTTTAAGACAATTATAATAGTCATCGCCTTTATTTTCATTCAAGAACATTAGGTTTCAACACTGTTGAGAAATTTAACGAAAACAATGCAAATTAATGAGTAAAAATGATTTAAATATGGGATCTCTACAACATTATTCAACAAGAAATTCTATAAACTTTCATTTTAAACTATTCAAAATATTACTTTTAAAGAGTAAAAATATAAATGTTAGTCTAAGTTTAATATTAAATAAAATAAATATTTTTATAAATTTATCATTTTGAAATTTTAAGTTGAGTTATGAAGAAAAGACACGTATTATTATTTGATTGTGATAGATAATATGTAGAAGAGGAGGGTGACATGCACCATTATGACCATGATTCGGCCATAATATACAACTGTGGTTGCGTTTTAGCGGTGAAAGTGCTGAGCATTGTACACTGTACGCGCACGTTACCCAGACTTGTGTATGTGGCTACGAGGAAACAAACACGACAGCTAATTTCCCTGTCTCGTTCTAACGTGCGCGGGTGGTGCTGCGCCTAACATGATTGGATAATATATATATATATATATATGGGTCAGAGCAGAAGTATTCAGCAACAGCCGCAAATACATTTCCTGTGTTTCATCAACCCCATGTTGAAACAGCGCACAGTTTATTAACTATAAACGTGCATTTTCCACGAGCCGCTCGATTTTATCGAACGGTCGTGATGGACGAAGGTTGAATCGGTTGAGCGCAGGGGATTTTATCCGGCGCAACGACGATGGAAGCAGTGGGGAGGCAGATGGTACCACCACAACGTGAGTTTCGTAATCACGGTGGAGTCCATGCATCTGACGGCTCACATTGAAGTGGGTCCCGTGACACCCCTGCAACTGTTTTGGCGCATGTTAGCCACTATCAGTTTTTTCCAGCAGTGTCTCTCTGTAACTTTGGAGACTGTCACCATCCAAACCTTGTTCCAGTTAGTTGCAGATCACACTCTCCCACATCCGCAACCACAACCATATACTCAATTCAATTCTCCTCTCCAAAAATCACATCCCTTTTCAATTATCACTAAATTAGTTGCAGATTCTTGTCTGCAATCTTCTTTTTCCAGCTCAAAACACTCTAATTTAGTTTCTTTTACACCAATTAAAAAATGTCGCATATAATAAATGCATTACTCTTTTAACTACAGATAAAAGACTGATGAAAAAAAAATGACTTTTACAGTGGTAATGTTAGAACTAGACCTAGGAAAAGTTAATTAGATAATGGGGTAATCTTAATTAGATGGTACATACGATAAGTGAAGGTAAGTTAATTAAGGTGAAGGGAGAATAATAGTAAGAAAAGTTAAAGTGTGTGTATGGACAACGAATGTAGAGGACCAGTCTATACCTGAAAATCTGTGTTCGCTTTGGTGAACATGGGACACTTAGTATCTGCAGTGGAGAAAGGACGAATTGAAAGAAGATGTTAATTATAAATTTATGATGGCACGGGGTTAGATAGAATTAGAAACGGTGAAAAATTTATAGAGGAAATGTCAGAGTAATTATTAAGTGTGGAAGAATTGCATACCTAAACATGGAATGGTGGAGGCAGTGGTAATTCTACTGCTGAAGATCAGTGTGAAAATTAAGAGCACGAAAAAGGAGATACTAGAAAGACGGGTTCTGTTCACAAGGGGAGGGGTTTTTCTCTTCCTCTCCATGAACAAGAACAAATTTCCTTCACTACAACACTAACACTAGGATGCTTGCAGATATATGACACAAACAAGCTATATCTCACGCTCTCACTCTCAGTCTCACTCAGTCTATGACCCTATCAAGAGTAGTGTATGAAGCTAGGAGCAAATAGTAGGGTTTGCAACCCAAGGGTTGCACGTTCCATGCAAATAAGAGCTAAACAAATACCTAACACTTAGCCCATTTGTCTCAAATGGACAAAGTCATAATCTTTTGTGCTTTTCAACTCTCTCACACCACTTTTATTTTGTCTCAGTGAGAGCAGTGTGCAATAAAGGTGCAGGGAGAGGAGGTAGAGAGAGTGGAAAATTTGGAAGGACTGTGGTAGTGGTACGGCTTATCTGATGAGGTGTGTGTTGTGGCAGAGAGGTATGTGTGTGTTTGTGTTTGTGTGAGTGTGTGCACAGTACTTATTAGAGAGGTTAAAAAGAAAGGAAGAAAAACAAAGGTGAATCTATGCAGATCATCACTTCCTAAGCTTTACCATGTTTAGGTCTCGGATTCTCTTGCAGGCTTTCTCCACTGTCTTTCAACGATTCCCAAACCCAGAAAAGCAAAAGCAACACCAACTCTCTCCACTCTGATATATGCCTCCTGCTCTCACCTTCCCTCTGCTTTTTCTCTGCCTTTTCTCCTTCTGTATATAGTTTTTCTTCTCTAAACAGAAACATGGGCTACCCTCTTCAATTTAACCAGCTTCGCTTTTTAACTGCTCCTTCCATGCTCTTTTCTACCGTCATTTCATTAATTCATTAATGCTTCTCCTTTTCACATGTAATGTCAACATACTATAAATAATTGCTGCTGCAGTTTGGTATTTGGATACATGATAACCACCAATCCCTTTCTTAAACGACACAGATTATCTCTAACCACAAATGGATTTGCATGGTTCTCTGGTTTCTGAGACATTATTAAATGGTTTTATATTTGCAAAATAAATAGGAGACACATAATTGAGGGAATTTAAAAGATTTTAATTAAGAGTTGTATAAAGTGGAGCTTCAATTTTCAACCCCCGTTGAGTTATGCAAAGTTTTGGAATATCTTGGTACTTGCATTAAAGATTGATTATGTAGTTAATAATTGAGATAAATACAATATTTTGGTTCACCACGGTTCTTGTGGGACTTTTTGGGAATGGAAAAAAGTAGAAGATGTTGAAAATGTCTTACATATCTGGTTGTATTAATATGCTGTGGCAGCTAGGTACCTTAGAGTGTGGGCCAGTTCTCACACGGAGGAACCAGGCATGTATTTACAAAACTAGCCTCTGGTGATGCACGTGTGAGGATGATGGGTTGTTGTTAGGAAGTGTGACCTGAGGAACACTGAAGCCATTGATATATGACACATAGTGAAAGAGAAAGGGATGTCATGGGGGTTTGGTCAAAGGGACTGTTGAAAAAGTCCATCAATTTGCTCAGATTCCAAAAGCAAAAGGGTATAGACAAATATTGTGTAAGAAAATGGTGTATTCTTTGACAGGGAATAGCTAGATAGATAGATACATCTATGTATTCTGTTCTTTGGCCTTGCTCACTCCCATTAATGCAATCCAAACTTCCATTGGTGCAATGGGGTCTTCAATTTTCTCTTCCATAGTACCAATAATTAGACTCAAGTTTTGAAACTTTCTTTTTACAAGTTTCAACCGGATTTCATGGGATGTCCATTTTGGATTGGATTTCCCACTGTATAAATCTTATCCTTCTTCATTTGGCATTTCCTCTTTTTTTTATTCCCATAATTTGGTGATTCTTGTGACTCATCATCTTCTTAATCACATTCTTGTTTAAGAAGTGAACTTTGTGAGAGTTACCTTCAAAGCAGGTGAAATTATAGATTTAATAAACAATAAAATTTTAATGAGTTAAATATTATGTTTAAAAATAAATTTTAAACATAATTTAATTTTATAAAATCAATTTGTAAAATAAAATTCATACTTAATTATAACTTGAAAATTGAACTTATGCATCGAGTTTGGATTATTCTAATTTCACCTAAATTTAAGGCAAGTAGGTGAGTTTGGAAATTGATCTTATGCATCGAGTTTGGATTATTTTAATTTGACTGCTAAATTTAAGGCAAGTAGGTGAGTTTGGAGAAACAGGGTAGAATGAAGAGACAAAATTGAAATTTGAAAATTAATAGTGTCCACACCTGAACAAAGAGCCATAGCGTTGTGACTAGTGTTTGTACGAATGAGAACTTGTAGATGCCTCACCGTGGTCCTTCAAACCCTAAATCCTTACATTGATAAACTTTGCTTAATTTGTGGTTATGCATAAAAAATTTATGTTTTTGTGACATTAAGTGTTTCCTGCATTTATTAATTAAATGCTAATTTTCACCTATGAAATCTTAAAAGGGTATGATGGAAAGTAAATGACGATTTTCATGTTTCTTAATGCAGGTTTGAATATTGATTTGACATGAAGAAGTGAAAAAATCTACCTGTAGGAGAAGAACATCCACAACACCTCCTTATTGTAAAGAAAAGATTAAAAGGATATAAATTAAAAAAAAAATACTTTAAAAATAAATTTAGTAAACAAAGGATTGTTTTATTGGTTATATAAAAAAATATAAAAATACCATCATTTAAACCTTTTAACTGTAAAAATATTAAAAAAATATTCATTTATGGAAGATTATCTTGATGATAAAATTGAATGTTTATTATGCTCAATTTTCATGAAGAATTGAATAAATGTAAAATTCACTTTTGATTAAATTTGATTTTATGTGAAAGTTAAGATACCATGTACATACGAAGAAAACACATAATAACATGAAAAATGAAGTCACAATATTAGAATTTTCTACTCTGAAAAAAAAAATGAGAATTTCAATTTTTCGACGTGTCACTTTATAATACGTAAACCATGAAATTCAAATTCTAACATCATGTTTTTCCGAGAATGAAAAGTATGAACTACTTGAATTAATTAAGCTTAAAAACAATAAAAGATTAACATTTTCTAAAAATTATTTAAAGAGTTGGAAAAGAGAGTCGGAGTGAGCTGAGATTATATTTAGAAACTCAACCTTTAATACACATACTATCTAAATAAAGTTAAGTTTTCTTCTTCCAGTTAAGAAACTCTGCAAGAGAGATAAGTGAGAGTAATAGAATAGTCTTTGGATAAATAATTTTCATATTAAAATGTTGTGCGGTCGTGTTCAGGCTAAGAGGAAAATGAAGAATGTCTGGTGTAAGAATACTTAAAAAATTATGCATAAAGAAAAAGCTTCATTAGAATTATGTCATTTATGCTTTAGGTGAGTACCCACAAATCAAGTTCATATATAAAATAATTTTTTATTTCAGATTGATTTGATTATTGATTTATTTTGTAAATTGTGTTCTTCAATATATTGGGTTTTATTTATATAAATTGTTATAATTTGAAGAGCAATTCTTGGTAAACAAATTAATCTTTTTATCTACAACTGATTGACTCTTCGTATTGGTTGGATGATTTGTTTAATTAAAAGTGTGCTTGTTACGAAGGTAATTGATGTATTAGGATTGAATAACACGACCTAACATTTGTATAGCTTTGGGTACTTAATATATGTTAACTACATGTAAATATTAAAATTGATTACCAAATAATGTTAATTAGCATAATATCGGTTTTTATAATTCATTATTTTTATATGCGTATCAATCACTGTATCACCATATTTAGAGAATGTGGGCATATTACTCTCATAATCATATTTATTACATTATAAAGTGTTATGATGTACTATAATTATATCTATGATGTGAATATTTATTGTGGAAATATTTTAGTATTTTTTTTTTTTTTTAAATATTTTCAAACCGTGGAGGATGGAGAGGTATAATAAATATGAAAGTTAAATAGGAATGGTCAAACTGATAATCAAATGACCGTGGTGGATGAAGTTTAACATTAAAGAAATAGTACATATACATTTTTGAGTTATAAACAAAATATAGTTTGTATCAAAAATATACATATATATTATGCTAAATTTCTAAAAGTATTTAAAACATCTTTACGACTTAGATATAGGTTCAATTGTTCGGATAGTTCCTATTTTTAAGGCAGTGTGTTTACTTGGTCATCATTTTTAAAAAAAGTGTTAACTTTGTTCATAATTTGGTTAATGTGTATGAATCAAGTTTATTCTGTTAATTTTCTAAGAACTACGTTGTGTGGTGATGTGGCAAAACATTGTGATGAAACACACTAACATCAAATTTAAATTATCTCTTTTTTATCTTTACACCCAGTTACTTTACATATGTTCTTTCCTTCAGTTTACACATTTTATCAATTCCTGACAGTATCTCATTCTCCCTACATTTTTTCCACAAATAAGAATTAAGGTCAATATTTTCAAAACAATTTCTCATTCAAAACAATCAGAACCTTCCATTGTTGTGGTAATGTATCCAAGAAAAGGATAATGACCATAAAAATCATATGGCGTTTCTTAGGGTCGCTAAAAACATTATAAGCATTCAAAACCTGCTTGAACTTGGCCTTAGCTTCTTCTTTCATAACAGAGTAGTGTTGCCAGTTCTTATCTAGGTGTCACTTCTTGGCCAACCTCTTATATGTCCTTTTGAGTTCTTCATTTGAGGAATTACAGTTCAATAATCAACTGAATTCAGCCCTCTTGTAGTAGTCCTCTACACCCATCTTGGTCCAAAATTCAATCGAATTATGAACTAAAAAGTCTGCCCTTTTTTTTTCATTGCAGGGTGGAGAAAAGTTATGTACTTTCTTGGGTTTGGAAAGAAAAAGAAAGGGTTGGGTTTGACTATGTGCATGTGGCTACAAAAGGGGTTGTAAGGTGAGTCCAATAACACTGAATCTACTAGTGCTAGTTGTGAAGGAAGAAAAATGCACACGCAAACGTTATCATGGGTTCATGCTCGTGTTCTTGTGGTGGTGCTCAGTCGTGTGACAACGTTGACGACAAGGTTATTGTAATTCCTGATCTAGGTCCTAGAATAGAAAAAAGTGAAAGAGGAGGTGATAACGGAGTCGAAGTCACTAGCCATAACTTCGATCTTGGAGGAGGTCCTCACTCTTTCCGAACTCGATAATTGATTTTGTAAACCCTAATCCAAAATTTCCACATTAGAAAGCCCTATGGATTACATGTTGAAATGTGTTGTGCCATATCACTATAGTCTTTTGCCACATCACCACATAGTTATTATCGGAAAATTAATAGAATAGACTTGATTAATGCACATTAAGACTACCCGAACAATTAAACAAAAAATTAGCTAGTTTATGATGTTTTGATTCAATATCCAAAAACTCAAAACTTACTTTAAGAACTAAGAAATTATAATATTGAAAGTAATTTGTCTTGAAACATATTTTTTTATAAGCATGGTGAATTTTATTATAAGATAGGATTGACAATAGCATTAAGACATGTATGCTGGAAC